ACTAAAAATGAACCAAATTAAGTTCCTGTCACTCCAAATGCAAGTGTATATTCAATCTAAATCAAGTTGGGTTACTGTATATGTCATTTTAAAAGATTTTACCATATTTTCAAGCATAATTTTTGCCGTAATTGTTGCACCATATGGGACCCACATATGGTGCAACAATTTAGAAGAACACAAATTAGCTAGAGTTTTTGTAAAGAACTATTAAAAAAGAAGGAGTCGATTTAAGGAGCTACGCCGACTGCTTTCTCGCTTTCTCGTTATTGAATGGTTCTAATAATTTAAGTTTTGATCCGATAGCTAACAGCAAACTCTAAATCTTAAAAGTACATTTAAAAATTATTTTATTACATATTTTCTTGAGATATTTGTCTTAAAGCTGAAAATTTATGTATATAAATATTTATTGTACATTTGCAGCGTTTAAACACTGAATTCTGAAGCAAATTTGCTTCAGAAACAAGAGATCTGTGGCAGTAACAGATCTAGTATTTTTTAGTGTTTGAGATAGCTAACATGGAGCAAAATCCAAACATTTGTAATGTTAAACAATTATGCTTTTTAAAAAGTTGCAACAATTGGAGACTGGGAACAAAAAAGCTCTAAAATACTAAATAAATGCTCTAAAATAAATGCTGTTCCTAACTAAATTTATATACATCAATAAAAGCGTTCAAAAATTTTGACCATATGATATATGTAACCCCCTCAAATTGAAAGGGGTTTAAACTTTACATGGTCATAGTTTATAAACGCTGAGAGATAATACAATGAAGCTTTAATGATAATAAAAAGAAAATTTATCGATGAATATAAACTAAGTTAAGAGTAGCAAAAAAATTGTTTTTTCAACTTATTGCTCTCACGTTTGGGGCAGGGGGACAAAATTTTAGGGCTATTCCCAGACTTCAATCATAGCAATATTTTGCAAAGCCTCATTATTTGACATAAGTATAAACAAATAAACGTTTGAGGTTTGCGCCATGTCTGTTAGCATCTCAAACACCAAAAAAATGCTGGATCCTTCACTGATCTTTGGTTCGATGCCTACTCTAGGCTTTTTTTGACATGAAGCAAGCGTAAACTTCCAAGTTAAATGCTCTTCTGCGGTGCTCTGTGATGCGATCATTAGGTCTTCTAGGAGCACCTAAAATAACCACAGAAAAAATGTGTATATGTATTTTTGAATCAGATTGATACGTTTTTGGCAGGAGGGATTATATTTTAGAGCTTTTTTGTTTCCAGTCTTCAATTGTTGCAACTTTTTAAAAGCATAATTGTTTGACATAAGTACTTTTGTTTACACAAAAGATCGAAAGTCCTTTACCCAACCTTTTTAGGAAACCATTTGGGATTTGGATTTGTTTGATCCAAGGCTTCAGTAACAGTATTTTTAAAAAAAACATCATTTGATACAGAAATGAGGTTAAAATCATAAAATTTGTTGTATGACTGAGGAAAAGCTCAAAGATCAACAAAAAATCACTTTACAATAGACAAAGTGTTAATTTATTTATCGTAATCAGTGAAAGGTAGATACAACATATTTCTTAAATTATTAATTAAATTATTAAGTGATTTTTTTGGTACAGGAACACATTAAGAAAATATTGTTGAACAAATTAATTGGATTTGATATCAGAATCTTGGAATGCTTGGAATGCTTGGAATGCTTGGAAATAAAAATTAAGTCAAAAATCATAAAAAGAGTAACTTTGAACAATTGGCGCGAATACTTTTATCAAAAAATTAATTAAAAAAAAATTCATATAAATATGACCTCTACGCCACTCACTAGCCAATCCGCATGAAAACTGGTTGTCAAAAAAAAATTATGGGATTGGTTACTGTATAGTTTCCAGTTTCAACTACAACAATTGGATACTTGGACAATAAAGAACAAACTTTATTAGATCTCTTTTAGCCAGCCGTGATAAAAATCACTTGTTCTATTTTGTTTTATTTGGTGCCAAAAATGTTTAATGAAAATTGTCATAAGTAACAAAGTTCGTGCCATTTTTGGTTTTTTTCCTGAAGTTAAATATAATCAACAGGAAACAAGGAGTATTGCACAACTCAATAAGTACAAACTCTTTGATTTAAAATTAAATTAAATTCGCTGATAATACAAATATTTTCTTTACTCAATCCAATATAAAAACAATATTTTCTACATTTAATCAGGAGCTGAAACACTTAAAGGAGTGGCTCGAAACAAATAAACTTTCATTAAACTTCCTCAAAACCAAGTATTTTTTTATTTTAAAAATCATCTAACTAATAGTTTACCAAGTAAGCTTTCCCAGCTTATGATCAACAACGATGTAGAAAAAGACTATTTGAAGAAAACGCTGAGGATGATTTTTTAAGGAAATCTTAATTGGAAAAATCGTATTTTCCGCATCAAAAATATAATCTTTAAGTCAATAAGCATCATGCATAAAATTAAACACCTTCTACACTGCAAAAAATGAATTCTTATTTATTATTATTATTTATTATTTATTATTATTATTAAAAAAAACTTGTTTTAAGCAATTTTTTTTTTAAAACAAGCAATTTTTTACTTGTCAGTATGGTAAGCAATTTTTTTTTTAAAACAAATTTATTTTTGCTTAAAATAAGAAATCATTTTAAAATTAATTCTTATTTTAAGCAAAAATGATCTTGTTTTAAGCAATTTTTTACTTATAACAAGCAAATTTTCACTTGTCAGTATGGTAAGCAATTTTTTTTTTAAAACAAAATTATTTTTGCTTAAAATAAGAATTCATTTTAAAATTAATTCTTATTTTAAGCAAAAAAGATCTTGTTTTAAGCAATTTTTTACTTATAACATGCAAATTTTCACTTGTCAGTATGGCAAGCAATTTTTTTCTTAAAATAAGAATTCATTTTTTGCAGTGTAAATAAAACTTTCTTAAAAAATATGTATTATTTATTCATTCACAGTTCTATTAACTATTGCCATATTGTTTGAGCAAGCACATACTCTTCAGCCCAAAAGAAAATATACATAAAACAAAACCAACCGAAAAAATCATTGATGACCTCCCTTCCACCTACACCCCTCTCCCCTCCACACACACCTTTGCGCCGGCAATATATATATATATATATATATATATATATATATATATATATATATATATATATATATATATATATATATATATATATATATATATATTTGTACTTTTAGCTTGTAAAAATATTTATAGTAGGTGATTAAGAAAACAATAATAATAACAATAATAGCTTTCACCTTTAGTAGCGTCAGATGTCTCAATCTTTAAAGCTGAATAAATCTTCCTGCTCTTTTTTATGTGAACTGCAAGTTCAACTTCAGTAGCTCGTTTTGCAACAGGGTTTAAGTGATGGGGTTTAATTTAATTGTTTAACACCGCTATCGTGTACTCACAAGTGTTTATAACAGAACAATACCCATATAAGCTTTATACTGTGCTCTGCACAGTAGGCCAGAAATCACTTTTACTGGACAAAACTAATAGCTCGTCTTATAAAAAAAGATTTAAGAACCATTTTTACACTGTTTACTAATTTGAGGGTTGCGGTTCTAATGGTGATATTTTTAAATTTGGGTTGCTATGGATACCTAAATTGCTTAGCAATTATATATTTTATAACCTTAAAAAATATAAAGTAGATAAAGTAATAACTTTATTGGATTTCCCCCATAATTACCACATTGAGCATTTTGATACTACAAATGTAGTGGTACTATGAATTTTTTATTTGGTTGATAGTGATACCTAAAATGTCTGACGCTTCATTTTGCATAGTTAACTTAGTAACTTAAGTAACTTTTCTCCAAGCACCATTGTTATAACTAGAATAATGCTTATGTGGCAATCTGATTAAAAATTATTTTATGCATTTAAAAATGCAACACATTCCCAATTACTAACTTTAAGTATTTTTATGCAGTTTTTTTTTTTTTTTTTTGTAGATATTTTAGGTGCTCCCAGAAGTCCTTACGGTCTTATCACAGAGCACCGCGGAAGAGCATTTAACAGGAAGTTCACGCCTTCTTCCGTATCAATGTCGCTTGTTGGGCTAGAGTTGGCGTCGAACCTCGGATCTCTAGGTTCTGAGCCAGAACTCTTACCACTGCGCAACGGCTGCTCGGTTTCAAGGCTCTATTTTATATTTCATGAAACTACTACATAATCCATATAAAAAGAAACCCTTTAACCTTTTCGTGTATATAAAATATTAGGATTAGCTAACTTCAAGTTTTCTTGTCTTATATATGAAAAATTATCTTTTCATGTTTTAACTATATAAAAATATAAATTTTATTTGTAAAATTTTACAAATAGGTATTTTAGAATGTATAATTAATAAAGCAAGTTTGTAATACTAATCTAGTCTTGCTGAGACCCAATTATTACATAACCATTCAGATTGATATACATATTGAACAATCTATTTCAAGTTTCAAATTATTGGACCGCAAACGTATTTGATTATATAAGTGAAATTTTAACTAAAAAAGTACATCAAATACCCCGTCATTAGAAACCATTTTATTTAACATAACTTACAAACAAAATAGTGTTGTAATAGCTCATTTGAAAGATAATACTTGATTTTATTAAATTATGCAATAAAAAGGTTTTAAAGTTAACATCCATTTCATGCTTATTAGTAACATAAAAAATACTATCAAATTAAAAAAAAAATTTAGAAAATGTTTTTAAAAGAAAAGAAACTTTTTATTCTACCGCTTAGAAGCATACGGCATGATAATTATACAAAAATATGTACATTTCAGAAAGTTTAAATGTTTAAGCTATAAAATGGTATATAATAATTTAATTTTTGATGTCTTTTTTTTACTTTTGTCCACCACCTGACCCACTGTGATCTGGACTAAAATTCCCACCCACCCTTTTATTTACGCCCCCCTTGTATTAAAGATCGAGAGTAAATGTTTTAGGTTTATAAACTCAAGAAAAATAATAACAATAATAACAACAGAGTTTTAATATAATATATAATAAAACTGTAATTGTATAGTTACAAATTTCTTGTTTAAATCTGCAGAAATCTTTGTGTTTTGAAAGTAACTTTATATAGATTGTTCTTGTGAAAAAAGAATAAACTAAAATAAGCTTAGTAGACATAAAAAGTCAATATAAGAATAAGGTTGGGTGAGGAAAGAAACGTTGGTTGGCTGAGGTTTAGTAATGATTATAACCTTTAAAACTATTATTTTATTGGTAACTGATTACGTTATCAATTACTAATAAGATAATAGTTTTCAACAAAAAATTTCGCATTTTACGTAATTGTAAGTGTACAAGCAGTCTAGTAGCAAGTTTAAAACCTGAGATGAGAAGTTAACAAATTTTTTATTTCTCAACAAGATACATGTTCATTCTTTTGTTAAATGATTATACTTAATTATATTAAATGATTTCATTAGTTACAAAAGTTTTTATAAAATTAATGTATTGTCGTTAAATATTATACATAAATATTCGTTAGTTCTCTGAATATTTTAATGTCGTCTTATTTTCAATCGATGTGACATAAATAATAAATTTATCGACTTTTAAAAAATCCAATCATCAAAATAAAAAAGCCTATGTATCATTTGCTATATTGAGTTTGTTGAAAAGACAAAATCGTTAAATTAGCAAAAACACAATCTGATTAAGATCGTTTTAATTCATTTGAAAATTCTCAATAAGTAGTTATAGATGGTTTTGTGCAACAAAATTCTCAATAAGTAGTTATAGATGGTTTTGTGCAACAAAATTCTCAATAAGTAGTTATAGATGGTTTTGTGCAACAAAATTCTCAATAAGTAGTTATAGATGGTTTTGTGCAACAAAATTCTCAATAAGTAGTTATAGATGGTTTTGTGCAACAAAATTCTCAATAAGTAGTTATAGATGGTTTTGTGCAACAAAATTCTCAATAAGTAGTTATAGATGGTTTTGTGCAACAAAATTCTCAATAAGTAGTTATAGATGGTTTTGTGCAACAAAATTCTCAATAAGTAGTTATAGATGGTTTTGTGCAACAAAATTCTCAATAAGTAGTTATAGATGGTTTTGTGCAACAAAATTCTCAATAAGTAGTTATAGATGGTTTTGTGCAACAAAATTCTCAATAAGTAGTTATAGATGGTTTTGTGCAACAAAATTCTCAATAAGTAGTTATAGATGGTTTTGTGCAACAAAATTTCTGCAGATTTTTAGATTTGATTAAACAAATATTTTGTGCTATAAATTTATAGCTTTCTATTAACGCATTGCAAAAACTCCATATGCGGGATTGATCTGCGCGGTAGGATCATTGTTAAAATCTTGGTTGTTTACACCATTATCAAAAAGCTTTTCATTTGTTTGAACTTCACTGTAAGGAGGTGGCATTTGATTTATATAGTAGGGTTGATATGTTATAATTCCTGGTGGAAATCCTTCGTCACTTCTTTGCGTTATGACTACCTGTTGATTGTGTACACTCGCAACTGGCTGCTAAAAATAAAAAAATGTTATATGTGAATTACCACAGGTGAAAGAAGAGAGTGCCAAAAGATTAAGGTGTAAAAATATAAAATCCTGTCTTATATATATGCATTAACAACGATTTTATTTTTTATATATTAATTTAGTATATTTAACGTTTTAGTATGTAATGTTTTTACTACAATTAACTTTTTTAGTTTAAAAACAACTACAATTAAAAGTATTAATAATATAATTAGTAATTAAAATATAACTAGATACCAGATTTCAAACTTGTGTATGTTAATACTAAAACGTGTGTATGTTTATACTAAAACTTGTGTATGTAAAACTTGTGTATGTTTATACTAAAACTAAAACTTGTTTATGTTTATACTAAAACTGCATAGCTCATTGATTAGGAGGCTGTGCTCTATCTATGAACGAGTCAAGTTCTCATTAAACCCAAATCATGACCAAAGTAACCAAAAATTTAAAACCTTAAAAACCATCCCCACCACCTAAATATTTTAATATATCTTTTATAAATATTTGCGGTCTACGAAGCAATTTTCCATCAGTTGAGTCTTACCTCCTGCAAAATTCACCAGACATACTTGCACTCAGTGAAACAAATTTAAATTCTGCAAATCCTTCTTCAGATGTCAGTGTTGATGGGTACTATCCTTTGATTCGTAAAGACTCAAACAGTCACATGCTAGGTTTAGGGGTATACATATGCATTAATTCCCTATTTGTCGTGAAATCAGGTTTGAATCCTTTGACCATTCTTTTATGTGCTTTCGCCTAGCACCTTTTCACTCCATCACATTTCTCTTTGTTCTTTATCGTTCTCCTTCTTCCCATGATTGCACTCTCTTAGATGTTATCTCTGATCAAATTGACCATGCCCTCTCTCTTTACCCCTCTGCCAATATTGTTGTTGGTGGTGATTTTAATGCCCATCACACTGAATGGCTTGGCTCTAACACCACTGATCCTGCTGGCACTAAAGCCTTTAACTTCTGCGTTTCTCAATCTCTTACTCAGATAGTTAACTTTGTGACTCGTTTTCCTGACAACCCTAATCATTTACCTTCACTCCTTGACTTATGTCTTGTCTCTGACCCTAGCTAATGTTCAGTTTCTCCCTTTTCTCCCTTAGGTGGTTCTGACCATGCAATGGTCTCTATAAATCTTTCTTTCTCATACTTCTTTTTTGGCCTTATCATCGCACCACCTACTACTACCCTAAAGCTGACTGGGATTCCTTTCGTGATTTTCTTCATGATGGCCCTTGGGCTGATGTTTTTTCTCTCTCAGCTGACAAATGCGCCTCCTACGTAACCTCCTGGATTCAGGCTGGAATGGAAGCTTTTATTCCTTTGCGTCGGTTTCAAGTCAAGCCTCATTCTACTCCATGGTTTTCTCCTTCTTGTGCGGCTGCTATATCCAATCGTAATCATTTTTTTCATCTTTTTCAAAAGAACAACTCTCTTGAGAACAAACGGCTATTTATTATTGCAAGAAATCGATGTAAAAAGGTGCTTTCTGATGCTAAACTCCATTATTCTCAGTTCACTAAATCTCGCATCTTATCGCAGAAGTTAGGCTCTAAAAACTTTTGGAAAATCTTCAACAGCATTGTTAACAAGGGTAGATCTAACATTCCATCTCTCATTCATGGGACTGATCTTATTACCTCTCCCAAGGATAAGGCAGAACTATTTGCAAAGAACTTTTCTTCTAATTCCACTCTTGAATCTTATGGACATTCTCTTCCTTCCATTCCAGTCAAACAGGTTGACCCATTGTTAGACATTCAAATCACTCCGGCTTCTGTTGCTAAAGTCATATCTCAATTAAACTCCTCTACAGCTTGTGGTCCAGACAACATTCCTGTCACAGTCTTGCAGAATTGTTCTCCAGAACTTTCTTCAATTCTCTCTAAACTATTTAACAAATGTTTAACTGAGTCTTGTTTTCCTGCTTGTTGGAAAATGGCATCTGTGGTTCCAATATTCAAAAACTCTGGAGAAAATTCTGACCCCTCCAATTATCGTCCGATCAGTCCTCTTTCTGTTATTAGCAAGGTCTTTGAGTCTTTGATCAACAAATTCCTCACATCTCATCTTGAGTCAAATAAACTACTGTCAGACAATCAATACGGTTTTCGATCCTCTCGCTCTACGGCCGACTTGCTAACTGCTGTAACTGAAAGATTTTATCGTGCATTAGATGGAGACAGTGAGGCTAGGGCTATTGCTCTCGACATATCTAAAGCTTTCGACAAAGTTTGGCATGCTGGTCTTCTCCATAAGCTTGCTTCATATGGTGTTTATGAGAAAGTTTTTGAGATTATCAAATCATTTCTTTCTAACCGGTTTATTAAAGTCATCCTTGAAGGCCAACACTCTTCTTTATTTCCAGTAACTTCTGGGGTTCCCCAAGGTTCCATCCTGGGCCCTGTTTTGTTTCTTATCTACATAAACGATCTTCCTGACAACCTTTCATCTAAAGTAGCTCTTTTTGCTGATGACTCAACTTTATACTCATGTCTTGACAAAAAGTCTTCTCTTTTCGATCGCCTAGAACAAGCAGCTGATCTTGAATCCGATCTCACTTCAGTAATAGATTGGGGTTCACAGTGGCTTGTGAATTTCAACTCTAAAAATACCCAATTGCTTACTGCAAACAACTACCGTAATATGGTCAACATTCCTATATTAATGAATGGCAATCCTCTTACTGAGTCGTCCTCTTTACGTCTTCTTGGATTATCGCTTACTACTAACCTTTCATGGAAACCATATATACAATCGATTGCTAAATTAGCTTCTGCTAAGGTTGCTTCTCTTTATCGTGCTTGCCATTTCCTTACTTCTGATTCCATTCTCTACCTCTACAAATTTCTTATTCGTCCCTGTAAGGAATAATGTTGTCATATTTGGGCTGGTTTTTCTAACGATTCACTTTCTCTTCTTGACAAGGTCCAAAAACGCATTGTAAATGTTGTTGGACCTGGACCATCCGCTAAGCTTGAACCTCTTTCCCATCGTCGTAAAGTTGCATCTCTTTCTCTTTTCTACAAATACTATCATGGTCACTGCTCAAAGGAGTTATCATCTCTAGTTCCATCAACTAAAATTCATTCTCGTTTTACTCGTCATTCAGCTAAGTCTCATTCGTTTACTGTATCTGTCCCTGCATGCTCTAAAAACTTTTATTCATCTAGTTTTTTTTCCTCGCACTTCAATCCTTTGGAACTCTCTCCCATCTTCATGTTTTCCTGACTCATACAACCTTCAACTTTTCAAGTCTTCTGTCAACTGTTTCCTTGCTCTATAACTCTGTTCTTTTTTTTCCTAGTAACTCCCAACTTAATAGTGGTTGCTTGCAGCCTTGTTGGGAGTGAATGCAAATAAAAAAAAAAAAAAAGTCCATTGTTTTAGATTTTACCTAAGAGAGCGCAACACAAAATATAATTAAAATTTTCATCGCGATCTTCTTTTTTTAAATAGGTTTCCATAGTTCTTTGGTTTTGTCTTCAAAATTAATTAAAATTTAAGATTACCATTTAGAAATTTCATTGCAAGATTTTTCACAAGGTGAAGGATATTCATTGTTACGAATTAGGGTACGGCAATCATATAGCTTATTGCTTTGGGTGTCATGCATTATCTATGATTGAGTCAGGTTTCTAATTATAAATACAAATATTAATAAAAAAAACTAATCACGAATTTGTTTTGATATATCCTTTACAAATATTCAACCTATTATGTAACTTTTCATCTGATAAATTTTACCTTGTTTTTAGGTTGTTTTTTTTTGGTGCTTCAATTGATGTCAAAAATCAATTTTATAGGTGTTATGTAAAACTTTGAAAAATCGAACGCTTATAGACAATTCACAGAGACAGAGACGTCGAGACTAGGGTGTAACACTTTAAAATTTAAAATGCTTCGAAAAAATGTAGTCTTATAAAGTTTCGCGCTCTTTAAAACAACAGTTTATGGAAAAAACTTTGTGACTACCATGCAAGACTATATATATATATATATATATATATATATATATATATATATATATATATATATATATATATATATATATATATATATATATATATATATATATATATATATATATATATATATATATATATATATATATATATATATATATATATATATATATAAATTCAAAAATAGATTTCAAAAGGTAAGCTATAAGATTAAAGGAGTAGTTCTAATAACCGTCAAGAAATTCAAAACTTTATTAATACTGTCTTGTTTTCTCTCCCTTTATTTACTGACGTGTTTTTTGAACAATTATGTTTTAAATTATTACAGAACTTGAGTCAATCATAAATAGTGCACCTTAAACAATTTATTAACAAATTGTCTCTAAAACAATTATAGTTTAGTACTTATCAATAGTAGATTAACTACATGTAAAAAGAATATGACTTTGTTTATGGTTTTAGAACAAATCTACTTGTAACAATCTTTAAACTAATTATTTAATTTAAAGATTGTTACATTGGGGGAGGGGGAGGGGGAGGGGTTTTTTAGGTTCAATTTAAAAGTACGATTTTTTAATTTATCACAATATACCAGCTAATCAATAGAAAAGTTAAAATTCCGACTAAAGATCCTAGTTTGCCAACATAAAAAGATGTTTGGTATAAGGAGTAGAGGGTATAGTTTCCTTCAATGCACACACATGCATGGGGGCCCGCAGGATTTTTTGATGTTCCAGATAGGACACTTTCACACATTGTGCAAACTTCAAACTTAAGTATGTTTATACCTATGCCAAATGAGAAGGCCTTGCAAAAAATTAAGAAGGTGGAGGCCTGGGAGCAAAAAGCCCTAAGACGCCCCCTCCCCCCAAAAAAAAAGGGTGTGTGTGTGTGTAAATTTTGTATGGTCATAACTTTTGTAATTTACAATATTTTTCTACGAAATTTAAAATCTGTCGATAAATTTAAATTTAGTTTTAGATGGTAAAGTTGAAATTTTACTACATTAGTGCCCTCACGCTTGGATAGAGGGAGAAGCTTTTTTTTTCAGGCTTTTATGTTCCCAGCCTCCGCCATCCCACCTTTTTGCAAGACCTTTTCATTTGGCATAGTTATACTTAAGTTTTTAGAGCTCGCACAATGTTCACACCTTTGGCATAGACATACTTATGTTTGGAGCTTGTGTAAGCTCCAAACTTAAGCATACCTATGCAAAATGTGTGAAAGTGTCCTATCTAGAACATCAAAAAATCCTGCGGGCACCCATGCACACATGCCACCCCTTATATACTGCCCCTGAGTAAAGCGCTTTTCAGGCAATCTACTTTTTGAGTCAACAAAAAACAGGTTTTAGCAATGCCGTGGCTAATGGGTCAGAGACCCCCCTAAAAAATGTGTCATTTGGGTCTCAAAACCTCCCAAATTTTACCGCTAAGTTTCCCTAAAATAAAAAGTTCCTTAAATTAACAAATAGACACAAAATTTTCTGCCCCTTTCCCCCTCCCCCTCCAAATTAAGGGCTACAGGGAGCCTATCCTCGGCACTGGGTTTTAGTCTCTGTCTTCGATACAACTGATCTTGCATAGGAGTCGTTTTTAACGGACTTACTAAATAGGGGTGCCTAAAAAAAAAGATCCGCCTTAAGTATAGTTTATTTTTATTTGATTCGTCATTAAAACAAAAAAAGTACAATTTGACTCGACCGGGGATTGAACACAAACCTACGTCGCCTCAGACCGCAGCACTAACCGCTTGACCAAGCAAGAATATTGATAATAGCATTTCTGCATTCCCGTGCACTGCAGAAATGCTAAAATTTTGGGCTTCTTGCAAGTTTAAGTTAAATAAGACACAAGGTAAAATCAGAGTCTGAGCTGCTTAAAAAGTTGAAAAGTTTGTGATAAATTTCCCATCAACACTGTGCAATACTTGATGAGAGGCATTAAGACAAAAGTTTGTTGTCTTGCTCAAGGAATAATTTAAAATATGTCAAAATATAATATATTTTGACTTTGGTGACTATAATTTTAAATCAATAATTTTTACCTTAAAAAAATAAACAGCTTATGAAAAGTACTTATATTTAAACACAACCTATAAAAAAATTAAGTACATTTAAAAAAACTATAAAAATTTGGTTTGGATCAATAAGATAGATTGTTTAGTAACATTGTGATAAACATATTTAGAACTTTAAAATCAAAAATTACCTCATTTGCATGGCAACAACAGTGACCTGCACAACCTAATGAAGTACCTATAAATGATGAAAATAAACCAAGGATACTAACAGCTAATGTAACTTTTAAAATAGTTACAAGATTTTTTATATAATCACAGCTGACTCCTAAAATATAATTTAAAAAAAAAGTATAAATGAGATTATATAAATAAGCAAATCAAAAAAAAAATTTACAAAACTGTCATACAAATAATATATATATATATATATATATATATATATATATATATATATATATATATATATATATATATATATATATATATATATATATATATATGCGTGTATAATTTTATAAAGTATAATAAACTTTTATATATACAATATATATACAAAAGTTTATTATAATTTAAAAACAAGCAAATGAAAAACATATTCTAATATTACACATCAATTTCAGCAAAAAACATGACAGAATAAGAACATAATTCCATGAGAGTACAATAAGTTTCCTGTAGTCTCTTTTTCATATGTACCAGTTCATTAACCAAAACTTTAAAAAATATTCTAAAATGCAGATTACAGAGCAGTATTTAAATCAAATCTGAATTTAAGATTTCTATTAACATCAAAAAATAAATCAAAACTACCTAGTAACAGCCACCCTGGAATCTACATAATAAAATTCCAAATGTAAAAGTGAAATCAAATTGCATCAACATTAGAATAGCATTGACAAAAAAAGTATTATCAATCTGCATTATCTCCTCATAAAACTTTATGCAAAAAAAGATATATATATATATATATATATATATATATATATATATATATATATATATATATATATATATATATATATATATATATATATATATATATACATATATATATACACACTTGAACTTTTGCATACTGTTGTAAAAGGATTAATGATTTATTGGTTATAAAAGGATTGCTTTTATTACAACTTGTTAAGAGTTAAAAGGATTGGGCATATTACAACTTGTAATATGCCCAATCCATTTTCTTAGTGTAACACCATATTTTTTTTATTTTTAATTGCTTTAATAAAAAACCTCAACTCGTTTTTATTTTAAAAAAGTTTATCATGCTTCTAAATAAATATATATTTTTAAATATGTTTTTTCTCCACATGGATTTTTTTCATGACTTAACTATACCAAGACTAAAATTTTTTATTAAACTTTCTGATCATAAATAATATCAAAATAGATATAAACATGAACTTTACTTAATAAAACAAATTAATATTAGATTAAAAAATTTAATAAAATAATAATTACGCTAATATTTTGTGTAAAAAACCTTTTACACAAAAATTTTATTAACTTTTGAATGAAATAATGATCTTGCTATGCTTGTTATGAATGAATTTTGTTATGAATGAAAAAATAAAAAAATAGACAAAAATATGAATGACTTTCACTTAAATAAAACTTTTTTAACTTGAAAAAACATTTACAATAAATAAATTATGAAATCATATTAAACAAATATTAAATTTTATTTACATATATTTTTGCATAACAACACGTTTAAAGATTTAGGTCATTAACTGCATGCTGTAGTTAAGCAAAGATAAATCGGGTTTTACATTGGCATTGTCAAATGTTAACTTTTTTGTGGTCTTTATATATATATAAATTAAGAAAACATCACGTTTGGAATCATACTATTTATTATTATTATTATTATTATCAAAGAAAATTTTGTATGAGCCAAAACGCCACTTTTAATAATAAAGATACCAATCATGATGTTTTAGTAATTGTGTTTACATAATATATGTATTAACTTTTGTGTTTACAACAAAATTTGTCATAAAACACAGTTATATTTATATATAAAACATAAGAAATATAAATAAAAAGTAGGAGAAAATTAAATGAACATATTTAAAAACAAGTTATTGTTTTTTGTTGAGGCAATTAAAAATATAAAAACACGTTATAATTACTTTTATGATGTGTAATATTTATAGATGATTTTATATCTTTTTCACTAAGTATAAAAGAGAGATCTACAAAAAAAATATTTCATTCTTTTTCAGAAAAAATGCATAATAGTTCATCGTTATAAAAGTTAGCATAATATATTATTGTACTAACTTGATAATATAGTATATTTAAGATATATTTGGATTAATGTTATCCAAAAGTGCTTTATTAACTGGAACAACTTAAACCCCCTCTAATATAAAATTTTAAATTGTGTTTTAAAAAAAAAAAAAAAACCTTTATAAGTTTCTTCATTACAATCACAATCACCAGATATATCAGAGCATGAATGATTCTTTAAACGTGAACTAGCCAATACATAGTTTTCAAGTGAATTAGCAAGTAACCATGTCGATATCAACATTATAACACATAATATCAAATTGAGAAGCAAACTTGTTGTAAGCTAATAATCACATACAACATATTTTTATCTGCAATTTTTATCATATAATATATTATATTTCTGCAATAACAAAATTCACTAAATGCTATAAAGAATTCAAAATTACATGAACTTATTACATATACTGTTACTATTATTATTACATATATAGTAATTATTATTGTTGCTACTGGTAACATTACTTTTTACATATATTGTTATTATTATTGCTTATATTGCTTACATATATTATTGTTATTATTGCTGTTAACATTACCTTTTAAATATATTGTTATCATTATTGCTACTGGTAGCATTACCTTTTATTATTATTATTATTATTACTATTATTGTTATTATTATTATTATTATTATTATTATTATTATTATTATTATTATTATTATTATTATTATTATTATTATTATTATGGCTAGTAACAGGGCAGTACTCTGACTTGAAATATCCCTACCTTTGGGACTCTTGATTAGTAAAGGCTAGAGATGACGTCTCAATAAAAATACTCATCTTTGGCATGTTGATTGTATCTGGCTACTGACTTGTAGAAAGCATCCTAGGAAAAGACTTTAGGAGTAATCAGAAAAATTCTTTTGACCAACCTTGTACTCCTTCTACATCTATTTGGCAAGTGTAGATGTAAGCCTAGTACATTGTTTCCTGCATAAGATGATAAATGCTGGACCTTCTTGACTTTACTCATGAGTTTTTGCTTGTGCATTCTTGTTAGTGGCTATGCAACTCTTGCTGTTAACTCCATACATCCTTGTTAATGACTATGCAAATCTTGCTGTTATCTCCTAATAAAGGTACAGTTTAAGGACTCTAATGCCAACTGGTAGTAAGGTATTGCAAACTCTGTGGTAGCCCTCTGAGAGACTAACTCCATTAACAGCTGTAAAATATCAGAGTATTAAAAGTGCCTTGTTTTGCAAATAAAATACCATTGTTAGTGCTTTTTATGCACATTTTTATGCACGAATTTACCTACTTGTTGGTTTGAATCATCTGATTATTCTTTTATGTGCATCCACTTAGCACCTTTCACTCAATCACCTTTTTCATTTTGTTCTTTATTTTTTCATTCAAAAGACTGCTTTTTTTGGTATTATTTCTTGTCTCTGACCCAAGCATGTGCACAGATCCTCCTTTTTTCTTGTTGGTTTCAAGTAAACTCTACCCAATGGTTTTCACCCAATGGTTACCATGGTTTTCACTTTCTTGTGCAACAGTTATTTCTAATTGTAATCACTTTTTTCATATTTTTCACAAGAACAACAAATTTAGAATTTGTTGTTCTTGTGAAAAATATTTTTCGTGACAACAAATGTCATTTTATTGTTGCAAGAAATCAATACAAAAAGGTACACTCTAAACTAAGCTCCATTATACTTAGTTTAAATTTATCATTTATATCATTTTAAAGCAATCAAAGTCATCACTTTTTGATTGCTTAGAACAGCTTTGAATCTGATACTTTTTCCATGACAGTTTAAGACTCACAACGACTTGTTAATTTTAGCCCAAATAAAACTCAGTTATTTACTATTAACAGAAAAGGTTGTCTCTCTTTATTGTGCTTGCTTTTTCCTTATTCCCAATTCCATCTTCTACTTCTAGAAATCATTAATTTATTTCTGGGTGGAATGTTGTTGTCATAATTGGGGTGGTTTTTCTAATGATGCTTTTTTTATGTAAAAACATATTATAAATGCAGCATACTTTGCTCCTGAGCCTCTTCTCTATTCTCATAAGGTTGCATCTCTTTCTCTTTTCTACAAATTCTATTAAGGTCACTGCTAAAATGAGCTATTATTTCTTGTTCCATCAACAAAAACTGATCTTGCATGTCTCATCATTCAATAAAGTTGCATTTTTTTGCTGTCCCTTTTTACACTAAAAATACTTATTAAGTTTTTTCTTTGTACATTAATATTTTGGAATTATCTTCATGTTTTCCTGGTAAATTTTTTTCAACTTTTTTGTCAACCCTTTCGTTGCTCTTTAATAATATTCTTATTTTTATTATAACTTTCAATTTGATTATATATATATATCGTCACATTAGAATTATATGGTTCTATCTGCCTATTGTTATGTTGTGAGAACTTAACTTTCAATATTTATTTAATACATGTTTTACAGCTGTTATTCATTAAAATTATAAATTATAAGTTGTTTATGTTATCTATATTTCATTATTTAACATATTTATATAATATATCATTTTTTAAGTGGTTTGTTTTTATTATTAAAACTTTGATTGTTAAATTCTTTCAACATAAAACAAGGCAGATAGAACCCTATAATTCTCATACGACGATATATATATATATATATATATATATATATATATATATATATATATATATATATATATATATATATATATATATATATATATATATATATATATATCCTTGTGATAAAGTGTTGGGTGTAGAGCATTTAATGTAGGCAAAGAGTGATTTTACCTTATGCTATGATATTTATATTATGTTAAAAACTTTTTTGTTTGATAATATTTAAATAACTATTGATCATTTTAAGCAGTATTTTAATAAAGTTTTTTTTTTCAACATCTTCACTTCCAACAAGGATGTAAGCAACCACTATTAGAGTTGGAAGATACTGGAATAGAAAAGATCAAGTTTATAGAGCAAGATAACAATAAACAGACGACTTAAAATATTGTAAATTATATAAATCAAGAAAGCAAGATGAAGGAAGTGAATTCCAAAGAAATAATGTTTGAGGAAAAAAACTGGATGAATAAGAATTTTTGGAGCACTTAGGAACAGTCACAATAAAATAATAAGACTTAATTGAATGACAAGTAACACGAAAATGAATTTTATTAGATGGGGTTAAAAGCAATAAGCTTCAAGTCATTAAATCTCATGAATTTTTTTCTTATAGCAGATCATAACTCAACAAACATGTTTAGAGCTTCTGGACACTACAGACTTGGAAAAAGTAGAGGTATAAAGTTAAATATAGGAAGAGCTAGATTATTATAAATATAGATTATTATAAATATAGATTATTATAAATATAGGAAGAGCTAGATTATTGTGATAATGATTAGCTGAAAAAAATCGAGTTTTATCTGAGTTAAAGTTCACTAGCCACTGAGAGCCCCATACTGTAACAGAAGGAAGATCCTTTTAAGCTCAAATGCCCCCTATATAATTGATTTTATCACTTGACAGATGCAGTGTTTATTAAAACCATGCACACATAAAATAAGTTAGCCTATCTACAAAATATATTTCTCATATTTAACCATGTAATAATTTGGTTTAACCTGATTTTTAATATAGCAGGACTATTATTTTATATTGTTCAATAAGCAAATTTTACTTTTTCACCACAATTATCTGTTTATTTCATTATTATCAATTATGTGTTTAAGCGTCTTTTTTTTCCACTTTTTATTTTTATTTTACTAGAAGTGAAATTTCTTGTAAACATGCACAAAATGTACATTTAAGTTGTTTAAATAATACAAAATTTGTCGTTTAATAACACATTTTAATAACACAAGCATATATCAATCATTTTGTAAAAAAAAAAAAAAATTAATATTACATAAAACTGCTGGTAAAAAAAATAAAGATTGCTTGTTTTTTTTTTCTTTTTTTAACTTTTTAAAATTAAAAAATAATTATCACTTGCAAACTATTAATAGGTACTCAAGAAATAAAACAAAATCTTTTTTATTCATATAATGTCAATAAATATGAAAAGCAAATAAAAAAAACTTTACAATGTCAAAAACTTTGTTACGTGAATGTGTTAAGCATTTCTTATTCATGATTATTATTTTTGAAATTTTTATATAACTTCACTTCATTCAAGATCCAACAAGACTTTTTTTTTTAAAAAATTTATTAATATTAGGGACCCATTAATTCTTTAAGGGTCTTGAGACACCCCTAAATATATTTTTTATTCAAAAAAATTTTAAATACAGTGTTATTTTATCATATAGAACACATCAAGGTGGATGCTGCAGATATTTTTAAAAATGCTGTTTTTTGAACCACCCTCATATAATTATATATATAATATATATATACATAACATATAATATATAATATATATATGTATATATAGGCCTCGGCGGCAAGCAAGAGCTTTTGCCTTCGCTTCTCGCTCTCGCCCACACTCCCCTAAAATAGTTTACGAGAGCAATTTATGGCTCTCGCAAAAGTATAATTTTTTCTTTCAAAAGTTTAATTATCAATGCAACTAAAATGCAAGAGCAGCTTGGATAGCTCGCCATGTTCATTTTAGGATAGCTTTTTGCCGCTCTCGCACTCATTTCTTCACACCGAGAACTGTATGTGTATATATATATATATATATATATATATATATATATATATATATATATATATATATATATATATATATATATATATAATATATATATATATATATATATATATATATATATATATATATATATATATATATATATATATATATATATATAGGCCTCGGCGGGAAGAAATGAGTGCGAGAGCAGCAAAAAGCTCTCCTAAAACGAACAAGGCGAGCTATTCGAGCTGCTCTCGCATTTTAGTTGCAATAATAATTATACTTTTGAAAGAAAAAAATATACTTTTGCATATCAACTCAAAAGCATCTACTTGTAAAAAATTGCTTAAACTTTTTCATAATTTTATATTTAAATAAGATAATGAAAGTCAAGCCACACAAGTGTGCGACCATGGATGTTAAAAAAACTTTTTCAACAACTAAAGTGTACAACATTATAAATGAATTTATTTATAAGATATTTATAAATCAGCATAAAAATAAACTTTTTTTAAATATGAACTAAAATAACTATTGAAACCATATCAATTCATTAAAAAAATCTGTGTAAGCATAAACACTAGATTTCTTGGCTTAGAGCCATTAGTTTAGCCATTAGTTTAGCCATTAGAGCCATTAGCCTGTTCTAAGTGAACACAATTTAAGACCAAACATTTGGTCTTAAATAAAGTACAAGTTTAACATAATTTGATCTTTAAAAATCAGTTAGTGTGCTAAGGCAATAATAACAACTTAGCTATATCCTTAATTTCAATGTCAAGCAAAAATAACAACTTCAAAAAAAAGTATTTCTGAAAAGATTTGTAAAAAAATATTACAATATATATATATATATATATATATATATATATATATATATATATATATATATATATATATATATATATATATATATATATATATATATATATATATATATATATATATATATATATATATATATATATATATATATATATATATATATATATATATATATATATATATATATATATATTTATATATATTTATATATATATATATATATATATATATATATATATATATATATATATATATATATATATATATATATATATATCAGGCTTTGTTTTAAATAAAAAATGCTTAACACTTTAGCTTAATGTAAATTTGATGTCATAAAATTCTCTTTATTTTTAAAAGAAATTAGCTTTTTTAAACTACTGCAATATAATAAATTAATAATAAGATCAATTAAAAAATTATGCAGAAATGTTATAATGGAATGTTTATTTTCTTTAAATTTTTTTTTAATATTAAATAATTAAATTCAATATTATATTATTTTAAAATGTTTAATATAAACAAATCTTTTTCTTTTCTCGTCATTAAATAAAATATTAATTTATTACTTCAAATATTAAAAAATATATATATATTTTATATCTTAAATTTTTAATTTCATTTTTTTTATATATATTTACAAAAAAGTTTTTTCATGAGATAAAAAAATTAGCAGGGAGCCAATCAATTTGTCTTAATAAAAAGCTGTTTTCTATTTCACTTAAATATTAAACCTCTTATTCCATCACAATTATTAATTAATATGACAGTAAAACAATAACTAGTTGTGTTTTTGAAAAGAATTTAAGTTAAAAACAGCAACAAACTTAATAAATTTTAAACAATAAAATTATTTAAAATTTTTTCAAATAATTTTATTGCTTCACTCATTGAAGAAGAGCATTATTACAAATAACAGTTAATTTTCCTTTATACTGCTTCTTAGGCATTTGCAAAAAATTTAGTAATATTTGAGGTAATGCAAAACTCAAATAAATAAATTGTGTAAAGCTGCTGTTAAAAATGAATAAATAAGACTTGAATAAATATTTTATTTTTTATTTTTATTTTTTTAATCTATAATTTATTTGAATTTTCATGCTATATTTTTCTATGCAATGTTCTTATATCTGAAGATATTGTTGACTTAGCATAGCAAAGTAGCATTCGTTATTGACCAACATTTTTGTGTAACGAAGTACTACTCAAGCACTGAGTTAGGAGTAGCAAGATTTGAACTCGTATCATTCAATAGTCCCGGTTTTAACTTTTTGTTGGATGCTCAAACCAACTGTGCTATCCAGCCAATAAATATTGAATATAAAGAATGACATAGGAAGACCTTACTTTTATTATATATTTTGTATTGGTTTGCTTCAAGCTTGTGTGCATTCAATATTTGCATGTTTCAGTGAAAAAATAAATCATTACCATAAAACAAAATAAAAATAAAATAACAAACAGTGATAATATAATATAACTTTTATTGTTATTAACTTACTTTTATTATTAAATAGAAATTTAAGTGAATTTTTATTATTGCTTTAAAAATTTGTATAAATAAATATTTGAGTGCTTGCAATGATGATAAATAAGTTTTTTATCATAAATTTTTCTTCTATGGATTTATTTTTAAGTTTTGTTCAATAACTTTGTATACAAAAAAAATAATTTGTGTTACTATATATAAATATAAAAAGCTTAATAAAGTTTTTATTGTTCTTTAATTTTATAATTTTTTTTCATTTGTAAATAATGCTTATATCCAACATAAATGTCATTAAAACTTTGTAGAAAATTTTTAACATAATCATCAAAGTGGTTTTTTTATGAAATTACGTTTTTTTCCAAGTGGTTTTTTATAAAAGTACACCTAAAGCACAAATATACATATAAAAAGTCAATGGCATGCTAAGCAAAATAACAATAAAATAAATCTTAAAAGTTTCTTTTCCTTAAAAATGATTTATTCAATTGTATAACTTTTATTACCAATTCTATTTTTAAGATATAAGAATAATGCTAAATACAAATATATATATATACATATATATATATACTCATATAGTGTCGCTTTAAGAGCATTTTAATGTAAAAAAAGTCTCTTACGACTACAATTTTAATTACCTCGTCTCTTAAGCTGTTTTTGATTGTCATCGAAATGTCAAAGCAATTAATTTATGCGGAAGTACATTAAATTTAATTGTTTTTTAAAAAATTTTTAAAAAACCGCAATTATAACGACTAGAAAGTTTTTTTTAATTAGTGGTGTTTTTGTTATTGATTTAATAAAAAACATTTTTTAAACATGCGTAAATGTTGCTACATCGACTATCTTATAGCCTGACTCGCAACAGAGTGCTGCTACATCGACTGACAAATAGCCTGACTCGCAACGGAGTGCTGCTACATCGACTGACAAATAGCCTGACTCGCAACGGAGTGCTGCTACATCGACTGACAAATAGCCTGACTCGCAAGGGAATGCTGCTACATCGACTGACAAATAGCCTGACTCGCAAGGGAGTGCTGCTACAACGACTGACAAATAGCCTGACTCGCAAGAGAGTGCTGCTACATCGACTGAGGGTTTGGTTTGGCCAGGCAGTCTATCAATTAAAAAAAAAATTTAATTTTTAAAACTTTTTCTGGTCTGGTTTATTAACGCGCTCTTTAAAACTACAGTTTATGGGAAATATTTTTTGATGCTACGCAAGAGACATGCAAGACTATATATATATATATATATATATATATATATATATATATATATATATATATATGTATGTGTGTGTGTATAAATATATGTATATATATATGTAAATACGTGTATATGCATATATATATATATATATATATATATATATATATATATATATATATATATATATATATATATATATATATATATATATATATATATATATATATATATATATATATATATATATATATATATATATTATATATATATATATATATATATATATATATATATATATATATATATATATATATATATATATATATATATATATATATATATATATATACATAAATATATATACATACACACATATATTGTATATTTTGGAAAGAATGCAGTATAAAACTTAAAATGTGGTATAAACTAGTACTTACCAAACATTTGCTTCTAGTTATGCAACATATAACACTAAATGTTCCAACAATTACAATCTAAATAAGGTTTTAAGTTGAATGTATACTTTTTTATACATATTATCTTATAGTTATAGCATATTCTCTAGGCAATGCATCCTGCCAAGTTAATACATAAATATATGTATATGAATAAAATTTCATATTGGTCAAATTTTAAATTAATTTTCTATTTAAAAAAATTTACTTAATACTATAAAAACATTAGAAAAAATTAAAGTTATTCAACCTTAATGTAATTATAAGCATAACTAAATAATTTTCTATAAGAGTTTTAATTTTTCAGCTTGACTTTTTTTTTTAGAGCTATAGTTTTTAATTATTTTTTTTTTAGTTTCTCCTTTGTTAAGATTTCTTTTTTTTTTTTATAGTTAAGCTAGTTTATAATTTTCTTTCTTTTGCCAGGTTTTTCAGCAATTTTTTGAAGCATTAAAAAGCGGCCAAGCTTTTAAAAATAAAAAATTTATGCGTGGTCAGGTATCGAATGCGATCTACTATAGCGTATTTATGTAACATATTGTTCTCTTACATAAATTTATACAGCATTTTAATAAAAAGAAGAAAAAAATGAAGAATAATGACAGAAAAGATTGCTGCCCCATTCCAAACCCTCTGTCAATGTAGCAGCACTCCCTTGCAGCGGCAGACTATAAGATGTACTGTGTATGTACTGAAGCCCCTGGCAGCAGGCTAAACTGTTTTACAATATCATATGGCCCGAATCCATGATACAAAACAGTTTATTAATAATTTAAATCAATGCTCTCAGCAAACCTACATTCAATTCAAATAAATTTGTTAAAAGATTATTTTGCCTATACACATTTACAAAAAAACTTTCAAAATATCTAGTATAAGAAAAGTTACGTTCAGCGCAACTTGAGATTTTTAATCATAAAAAACAATAATGAAATGTAAACAATAAAAAGATGTAATTAATAATAAAATATCAAAAAAATAAACTTGCAAACATTAAATATAAAAAAAAAAGATATTAAACTTGGAACATAAAATATATTTACATTTAGTTCCGTATCCTGACTGTGAAAATAACTCCACTCCAAAAATATTGATCAATTTAGCAACTAAATTGTTATATGTTCTTACAATATATTGATGTGATTTCAATCAAAGAGCTATGGCATACATTTTGTATACATCATAGTCAACTACTCAAAGATTATTCATAGGATAGGTTATATTTCTTTTAAAGATACTTTTAGTAAAAAAGATAATTAATTATCACACACTGGTACTTTTTTTACTTTGTGAAACATTCAGACTTTTTGATTCAAATGCAATATAAAAATCAGATAATATTGAATTTGTTAAAAAAAGATCATAAGATTTTGAGCGAGAGAGGTTTCTCCATCCAAGAGTTTTGTACAACATAGAAGGTGCTAGCATAAATAGAAAATTTAGGTATGCAATGTGTAAATAAAATATATTTGTATTTCGATATAAATGAACATGTGCTTAAAGCAAAAATTCTGTTTTTGTTTTTTTAACTGTTCTTTTAGGTTTTTTGAACAATCAAAGAGACATCTGTTTTACAACTGTGTGAATTGGCATCATCAGGAGATATATCTAATTTACAATTAAATTTCCTAATTTTGGAACGTTTGAAAGAATGTCCAGTTTTGTTAAGCTACAGTAAACACTGCTCTTTATTTAACGAATTAGTATTTTCTGAAAAGATGTAATTTTAAACTAATTTGACATTTAATATAAGCAAACCCATTAACATTTAAAAATAGACTTTAATTTAAAGTCTAATAAAAACAAAATTTTTTAAGTTTAAAAACTTTGTTATTATATCGCAACCATTTTTTATTAATTTTCCTGAAAGCAAAAAACACCTCGAACTTCTCGCGCTAAATAAATAAGGTATTAAAATAATGTATTGGCATTTTTTTTTACAAGGTCAGTGAAATTTTAACTAGCATGCAAATAATACATGAACAAAGCGCCTATAAATAAGTACTGAAACACAAACTTTTTTCCCCCTCATAATTAAAGAGATAGAACTTATAACGGTCTTGTTACAAAACACCGCTGAATTCGTGGTATATATTGTTTCAAATTTATACGATTTATATGATTTTTTGACACTTTAGATATAAAGTTTAGATATAAAGTTTTATTTATACGATTTTTTGACACTTTAGATATATCTTATAAACGTGGGAAACAAAACTAGCTAATGTTTGGAGCAACAACCAAAGAGAAAGAAAAAAAAATTAATTAACTTACTGGAACGCCACACCAAAAGGGTGTAATAACATTCGAAGCATTGACCGCAATTATTGTACTGCAAATAACAATGACAACTCCAAAGCTTAACTGGCTAACGCCCAACACACCAAACGTTAATGCAATCTTTTTGTGTATAAGTACCATTTCACTCGCAACAATTTATTTCATCTTCATTTTATTTTAGAAAATAATTGCAAAAAACTAAACTTCAACCTACTTGTTCGTAGTTGTTAAATGTTCAATAGGTGAGATATTTAATTACTCGACTTCAAGATAATAACTTTACTTTTTGTTTCCTTATAGATATTAAAATACTTCGAAATAATGCACTTTTTAAGTTATTACTGATTTAAATAATCAATAATCAAATTAAAGAAACTAACATGTAAAAATATAAGATAGTGATTTTAATAATTGAAACTTCAGTCATAAAGATAAAAAGTTAATCCACGTTTTCCCATTAAGTGGTATTCACAGTTTCTTAGCAACAAAAACTCACTGTTTCTTAGCGACAAAATATTATAAATTAACTATTTACTTTAAATGCTGAAAAAAATCAATGCAATGTCTCAAAATATAAATGTAATTATTTATTGATATAAAACTATTTAAAAAAAGTTTTATTAACTCATCATCAACTCAACATCAAACAAAAAAACTTTTTAATAAAAATTGAAATTATATTTATTTTTTATGAAATCGCGTTAAGAAATTTAAAAAAAAGAAATTTTTGTAACAATTTTATGTCGCGACAGATACAGTAACTACAAGTCGCTTTCATCACTTATTTAATTTCTCACCTAGAGTCGTTTTATGGGAGAGTGGGCGGTGTTCCACCATCCAAAGAAGATGATTTGAAGTTATACTATATATAAAAAACCCAACTATATGATCATTAAAAATAATTAAAATAAACTTAACAACAACCAATATGTTATTTAAGATTGCATTAAATATTTTGGTATTTTCATTGCATTTAAGAAAGTTTTTATTGTATTTAAGAACAAGATAATAATTCGACAAGAAATTTTAATGTTGGTCGTAAATGGCAGTTACAAATTGACCATATTGTAACAATATCTTTTTTCGAATATAAATTCTATTATATATATATATATATATATATATATATATATATATATATATATATATATATATATATATATATATATATATATATATATATATATATATATATATATATATATATATATATATATATATATATATATATATATATATATATATATATATATATATATATATATATTCAAAACAGGATCACTACACATTGTTCGTTACATTCTAACCATGAAACTAAATAAATAACCTTTGTTTTGATTTAAAGCCAGGTCCACTTTTGATCAATTTTTTCAGTAGCCATTTCGGAAACTACAAACGACGCAGTTCAATTCAGTAATTAGTGAATATGGTTAGTTAATAGGGTGGTTCAAATAACAACATTTTTGAAAAATATCTGCAGTGTTATTTTATCATGAAAAACACACATATGTTTTATATAACAAAATAACACTGAATTTAAAATTTTTTTGAAAAAATATTTTTACTGGTCTCAAGACCCTTGAATATTTGGTCCGTAATATTAACAAAAAAATTGAATTATATAAAAATGTAAAAAATAATCATCATTTTACAAAAAAAAAAAAATTTTTTAGATTTTACTTCCTAGAAAATGACATTTTTTAACTAAAAATAAAAAAATATGCGTTTTTACAAAGTTTTTTAGATATAACTTTTTACAAAGTTAATGTTGTCCCTAGATAATCTTAGATCTCTTTATTTTTCGTCCAAAGTTATTTTACATACGCTAATATTTCATGGTACACACAAATCCAAATTGAATACTCTTTATATAAGTCAAAAACATGTATTAAGATAAGTTTACAATAAAGATAAACTCACCCATGCTGAACCTTTACTAAAAACCTTAAATGCTCTAAATGTTTACCAAATAAACATTTATCAAAATATTCTATTCATGATTAAATACAATCTTGGACTAGTCCCATCGCATTTTTCAGATAACTTTTTTCAAATTAATTCTAATAGATATATCACATGAGCAACAGGGAACTTCACATTACCTAAAAAAATGACAAAATTTTCACGACTCTCTATTTCCTACCGGGGTCCGTACCTGTATAACACTAAATAATCCTGTCACCTTGAAAAAAAATTAAAACATCTCATAATTAATATCTACAATTTTATTGACATGTATTAAACTTAACAACAAAATTTATACAAGATTTATACTAAAATATTTATGAGTATTACTAACTGTATATTGTTTAATCGTTTTTAACTTTATATAAAAATTAATTAGATTTATTTAACCATTTAAAGAGGTACTCGATGACTATAAAGTCTTCTACGAGTTTCCTTTACAACAACATGTTTATATTTGAAGAAACAATAGTTTTTAGTTTTGATTTAAAAAATACTGTTAGTTTTTATGATAAAAAACGTTATTTAATAATTTAACATTATATTTTGTTATAATTGCTAAATTATGTATTCTTATGTTATGTTATATATTTTATACTTTACACTATATTATGTGATAGAATTATAACTTTTTTATTTTATTTTTCTTTCTAAAATAATAAAATTTTTATATAATTTCGCTTCTTTTGAGACCCAACAAGACATTTGAATTAAATTTTAATTAATATTAGGGTACCATTAAATGTTTTCAGGCACTACTAAAAATATTTTTTATTCAAAAACTTCTAAATCCAGTGTTTAGTATTCTATCATATATAACACATCAATAACACATTATGGTTAGCACACAAGCTAACAAAGAGCAGTAGATATTTTTCAAAAATATTATTTTTTGAACTACCCTATTGGTTAAAGAAAAAATTAGATAATAATTTGAATTTTGCTTATTAAGATTCAATATGACATTTAACACTGTGTTATATATTTTAATATTTTCTTTATATGTAAAGTAGAACAATGTAAAAACCTGACTAGAAATTTTTTTTATTGACCATTTTTGACAGTTGGATATTGACCAAATATGAACCACTCTCTTTTATGAGATAACATCGGTGCGGTCTATACTACAGTACTTTCAACATTAAAGTCACCCTAAATCAGAACAAACGCCACGCTATACTTGTTTGTGTAAGTTTCATGTGAGCTACATGTGGAACGCATGTGTAAACCACATGCTTACTTCTCTCTTTTATTGAATGACGTTGCTGCGGTTCACGTGAAGCGCAGTAATGTCAGAAATTTCTAGACTTTTTTTAAAAATTGACAATTGTGTCCCCCCCCCCTACACACACACACACGCACACTTGTAGTCGACCCTGGCTTAGGGCTAACAAAAATTATTAAAGCCGATTATTTGATGTCATCAAATATTCTTGCATTGGAATTACAATATACTATTTTTGTAATTTAAAATGTAGTCAAAATTTAAAACGCATGTCATGTGTTTTATGTGTTTGGTTCAAATGATAGCTACATTTAGTTTTTTCACATATTTAATTAAATATTATATCATTTGTAGCGCAATAATGTGAACCACGTTACGTGATCCATAAGTGTGCGGAATCTGATCATTAGATTATATATCAATAATAATCTAGATTAGTACTTCACACTTTTATTGCAGTTTTAAACACTACAGATATATATACTTTTCTTGTAGTGAACGAAACGATAGAATAACATAACAAAAAAATGTTTAAAAAGATTTTTGAAAAAAATGATTTTCAAAAGTTGGAGATAAAAAAACAATTGATAATTGTGACGTTGTGGTATGTCCAAAAAGATATTACTAATATTATTTTTACAAATGTCATTTATACCTGGAGATATATTTTGATTTTTAGTTTCTCAATGTTTATTCGTTGTTGCGCTGTAAAAAAAAAAGTCCGTAGCTTTTATCAGACTTTTTCCGATACGTTACGAAAAAACTCCGTTTTTCATAGATAGTCTTTTTAACACTATTTTTTAACAATTATATCTTTTAACATAATTTTATCCGTACTTGTGATACAGAAAAATATTATTTTGAAATAGTCTCTCATGAAAAAGTCCCTCTTAATAATTCCATGAAGAAAAAACAAAGAAATTTATGACTTACAAATAATAGGAAAGTATATATATTTTTTTATTCTTTCTTTTTTTAAGCATTAAAGTAAATTGTTAAACAACAAAATAGTTAAAATCATAAACCATTACATAATAAGAAATAAGTAAAAGATAAAAATACGCCGATACTCTCAGAAGATCAATTGTCTTGTCATCGACAACCGCTCGTAAATTACAAACCTCATAAAATTAGTACATACACAAATTAACACATAAAAAAAATACAGCAGTTTATTAGGCATTTAAAAATATAAAAATATATCATCTACAGACAAATTAATTTCTTGAAGTTTTTTCTTAAAATAAAGATAATAAGAATTCCATTCAAAAGAAAAGTCAAAATGTTATAAAACAAACTTTGTTTCAAAAGGAAGCTCCTCAAAATGAAATGCATATATTGAAATGTATGCATTTCATTGTAAATGTAAACTTACAATTGTCTCTACGAGCATCAATTTGGTTTTTGTAGCAAACACTTCACAACACGTGCACTTATTAAAAGTTCTGAAACTGTTAGAAAAACTCTTGATAATGAATTTATATGTGATATGTTTCTTGAATTAAAAAAGAAGTTTGATTCTTTTGATCATTCTACCCTCCTAATTAAAAGTAAATTGCAGACTTCCAACCATTCAACCAAAAAAAACTTCCAACCTTCCAATCAAAAAAAACTTCCAACCTTTTAAAAAAACTTTGAATAAAAAAAAAAAACTTGAAATTGAGATTTATATAAAAACTTAAGATTGATTTTTTAATGCTAACATTTTAATGCTAAAATTTTTAACTTTTGCTTTGTAAGTGCTTTTTTTGAATTACCAGATAACTCCTTAATTATTACAACTTAATTTTAACAGCTTAAACAGAGTCACCTACAAACTATACTTTCCTGAATTTTTTTTTATATTTTCGTTTTATTAAAGGAATATTGTTGATTAAAAAATACTTTCGTGGATATAATTAAAAGAACCAGAATTTTTTTAAATATATCAATTTTATTTTTAAACAAAGTTTATAAAAATAGAAAGATTATTGTTAATATAACTGTTGTCATTATTATTTTCATCATTTTCATTAAGTGTATTTTTAATATATTTGTAAAAGCCGTGAAATGTAAAATCTTTATTTCAGAAATATACATAAATTGAAAATAATAATAATAATTTTTTTTTTTTTTTTATGTTGATTTTAGGTGCCCAAAGAAGTCCTTACGGTCTTATCACAGAGCACCGCGAAAGAGCATTTAATAGGAAGTTCACGCCTCCTTCCCAACCGATGTCGCAAAA